GTTATACCTTAGCAAAGAACTTGGCTGCACTCTGTTCATGCCCTGGGGATCTGTGGAAGTTTTCACTTGAGACTAGTGACCTAGGGTATCTGGCAAAAAATTTCTAAGCAACAAGGCATACAAGCTGTTGTCTTGGCTGCTCCTAACAGTCTTAAATTCAGATGCAGGAACAAATAAATGACTTACAGTTGGAATTTATATTTAAACAGGAAGCAGAGCACAAAAGTTTGGAAAAGTTGCAGCCTGGTTATGTGTCAAAGAAAAAGGTTTTTCTGGAGAGGAATTCAAGCAGACTGTGGAGCAACCACTTGCTAGAGATATTTGCATAATTACAAAGAAGCCAAGTGCTAATAGCCAAGACAATGAGGAAAAGGCCTCAAAAATATTTCAGAGACCTTCACAGCAGCCCCTCCCATCACAGGCCCAGAAGCCTAGCAGGAAAGAATAGTTTCCTGGACCAGGCCCAGGGCCCTGCTGCTCCCGTGCAGCCTTAGGACAATGCTCTCCACATATCTGCTATTCCAACTCCAGCCTTGGCTCAAAGGGGCTCAGGTATAGTTCAGGCTGCTGCTCTGGATGGTGCAAGCTATAAACCTTGGTGGCTTCCAATGGTGTTAAGCCTGCTGGTTCACAGAGTGCAAGAGTGGTGGATTCTTGGTAACCTCTGCCTAGATTTCAGAGGATGTATGAAAAAGCCTGGGTGTCCAGGCAGAAGCCTGCTACAGCATGGAGCCCCCACAGAGAAACTCTAGTAGGGCAGTGTGGAGGGGAAATACGGGGTTGGAGGCCTCACACAGAGTCCCCACTGGGGCACTGCCTAATAGAGCTGTGAAAAGGCCATCTCCCTCCAGACTGGAGAATGGTAGATCCACCTGTAGATGTTACTCTGTGCCTAGGAAAGCTACAAGAACTCTGCAACAACCTATGAGAGCAGCTACCAGGACTGCACCATGCAAAGCCACAGGGGTGGAGTTGTCTAAGGCCTTGGTAGCCCACCCCTTGGACCAGTGTGCCCTGGATGCAGGATATGGAGTCAAAGGAGATTATTTTGGATTTTTAAGATTTAATCACTACCCTGCTGGGTTTCAAAGTTGCATGCGGCCTGTAGCCCATTTCTTTTGGCCAATTTCTCCCTTTTGAAATGGGAATGTTTACTCAATGCCTATACCCCCATTGTATCTTGGAAGCAGATAACTTTTTAAAAATTTTACATGCTCATAGGCGCAAGGGATTTGCCTTGTCTCAGATGAGACTTTGGAGTTAAGACCTAGAGGGTCTGTTGGGAAGACATAATTATATTTTGCAATGTGAGAAGGATATGAGATTTGGGGGAAGCCAGGGATGGAATGATGTGGTTTGGCTATGTGTTCCCACCCAAATCTCAAATTGAATTGTAATACCCGTTGCTGGAGGTGGGGCCTGGTGGGAGGTGTCTGGATCACAGAGGCAGATTCCTTATGGTTTGGTGCTGTCTTTGTGATAGTATGATAGCGAGTGCTCATGAGAGCTGGTCATTTGAAAGTATCTGGCACCTCTCTGCTCTGCATTTGCTCCTGCTTTTGACACATGATGTGCCTGCTCCCCCTTCACCTTTTGCCAAGATTTTCCTGAGGCACCCCCCAGAAACAGATGCCACTGTGCTTCCTGTACAGCCTGCAGAACCATGAGACGATGAAACCCCTTTTCTTTCAAGTTATGCAGTCTTAGATATTTCTTTGTAGCAATGCAAAAATGGCCTAAAACAGTTCCTAATGTCTACAGTTTTCCTGGTGATCTGGTGTGTTGGGAAAGCTGGTCACTTGCGTACAGTCGTTTGAGTCCCACTTAACCCTGTAAAAATGGGTCTGAGCTGATATCGCACCACTGCACTCCAGCCTGGGAAACAGAGAGACTCCAACTAAACAAACAAACAAACAAACAAAAAAAACCTATGTAATTAGCGCCAGATTTATAATCTTGTGTGGGGATATATTCCCTGTTTCAAGTTCAGTGTGTGCCTAAGATAGTAAGTCAATGGCTCTCAGGCAAGACATGCTCTAGCTTTCAGTATCTCAGGCTCCATGGGTGATGAGGAGGGGTCCTTTTACCATGGCTCCAGAGGGGTGTGCATAGTCTCATTGTCTTGTGTGGCAACCTGGGGACCCACTAGCTATGAGGGATGGGCACATGCTGTTGAGCTGATCTCACCTTGTCTCTTGTGATGTGAGTAAAAGCGTTGCTCCATCCTGTGCTTGATGCTGTTGTGGTTCCCTTGGCAACTCTGATACCAAGATGTGGTGGGTAGAAGTGTTTGGACTTTTATTGCTAGTACTGGCATTGTGATGAGCTTTGCTATCCTCGAGGTAGTGGGAACCCTCCTCTGGTATTGAAAACCTGGCACAGTGTTGTACACACCATGGAGTGAGGTATTTGCATAAAGCAGTTGAAAATGGACACAAGGAACACATAATTACAGAGTTTTGAATTCTGTTCAGAAGGCAACTGGATGAAGCAGGTGCCTAATGCAGAGAGCGAACACTTCTCTCTTTTTTCCTTTTTTTTCCAGACACAGTCTCACTCTGTTGCCCAGGTTGGAGTGCAGTGGCACGATGTCGGCTCACTGCAACCTCCGCCTCTCAGATTCAAGCGATTCTCCTGCCTTAGCCTCCCAGAGTACGTGGGATTACAGGTGTGGACCACCACGCCCTGCTAAGTTTTGTATTTTTAGTAGAGATGGGGTTGCACCATGTTGGCCAGGCTGGTCTCCAACTCCTGAGCTCAGGTGATCTGCCTGATTCAGCCTCCCAACGTGCTGGGATTACAGGCATCAGCCACTACTCCCAGCCCATAGAACATCTCTCTAGTGAAAGAGCTTAGATTCTGTCTAAGAAGAAGCTATGAGTCAGATTAGGCTTTACAATGAACAGCATTTGAAGTACTTCTCACTGACAGGCTGGATAGCAGATGTAGGAAGCAAAAGAGGTGGATTTGAAAAAAGCGAATAGAAGGGGACACAGTGATGTGTCTAGTTGACTGAAACATAGCTACACAATGATATTCACGTGGAATTGCTTGAAGGATAGCATAGCTAAATATGGCTGAAGTAATACACATATACATCATGTATTAAGCAGTTATTGTATTCCATTTGGAAGAAATGATTTTGATCTGCTTAACAGAATGGTCAAACAGGGATGCACATAATTTGTGCATATAATTCACAGTCATAATATAGATGAGTGAGACACTGGGAATGTCCATATTTCCTCTTATGCAAAAGCTATGCTCTATCCTGAGTACTCCACACAGAGCATAAAGACAGCCAATATTCTCTGAGCAAAATAACGTTACTTGTATCTCAAGACTCATGACAGTTCATTCCTACTTCCACATTCTGCCATAAAAAATAAGAAATTCTAGCAAGACATGAAATTTTCAGCATAATTCATTGTCATTACTTTGTTCAAAATATTTATTAGGCGGCAACTATTCTAGCTGCAGAGCTATGATCCTTTGTCAATGAGAGTGTGTGGAATAATGTGTTTTTTATTATTCATCATTTGATAATGTGTCAGTTAGGCAAGAGACTTTGAGAAAAATCCACTGTATCAGATAAAACACTGGAGGAGGATATTTTTAATCAGTTGTTGATGTGGTAAAATAGGGCTTCTTAAAATGTGGGAGAAAATACATTTCCCACATCATGCCATTAAAAGTTTTAATGAATACTTTTCTTTGAACTATCTGAAGTGCTTGCATCACGTGTGTTGATATTTAAGAATATTGTGTAACTCATACATAGGATGTTGAGAAACATTGCTCGTCACTGATGTTTTATGAATTGGAGAGTCCTATTCCTTATTATGTTGGCTTGGAGAAGAAAGCTAGAAAAATTAAGGCCAGGTGCTGTGGCTCATGCCTGTAATCCCAGCACTTTGGGAGGCCAAGGTAGGAGGATCACCTGAGGTCAGGAGTTCAAGACTAGCCTGGCCAACATGGTGAAACCCAGTCTCTACTAAAAACACAAAAAATTAGCTGGCTACTTGGGAGGCTGAGGCAGGAGGATCGCTTGAACCTAGGAGGTGAAGATTGCAGTGAGCCGACATCTCACCACTACACTCCAGCCTGGACAACAAGAGCGAAACTCTGTTCGGGGAAAAAAAAAAAAAAAAAAAAAAAAAAAAAAAAAAAAAAAAAAAAAAAGGCTAGAATAATTCAGAAAAGCAGTTTTGTTTTCTTTAAATTAGAAATTGGATGAACAAGGTTAATATATCCCAATGTAAGTGAAAGGCAGACCTGAGATACGTGTTGTCCTCTTTTGCTATAGAACTGACAGGAGCAGCAAGAAGTGTGGAAAGCAGAATGGACAATTTCTATCCACCTGAAGGCACGGATCTGAATGATACAACCTAGCTGTGGGAATTTAGAAAGATAGCCCTAGCATATGCTAACAGGAAATGGGACTATTATTGTGTGAAATGACATTTAGCTTGCTTATGTATAGTAATAATACTGCCTGTAGGTACATTTAAAAGTAGCTTTTATACCCACGTTATTATAATGGACTGATGGTTATATTCTTATCTCTTTTGAAACAGTGTCATCTCAGAATAGCATGAAAGGCAGTGCCCAAAAGCAGTTTCTAACAGTTCTATACAAATTAATGTGAAGAAAGTAGAACCATCCTGAACATAAGAAAACAATCCATTAAAATAGAACTTAAACTTTTTTCATATGAAAGATACTGACTGAAAATATAAAAGAAATTTATTGGTAGCACAATATTAAAGATAAAACTTATCTATAATTTTTGACACATTTTTGGCTTTTTTCATGAATTCAGAAGCATGACAGATTTGAACTTTGTGTTCTTCAGGTTCACCAAGATGAGCTCTCAGAGTTTGTATAGCAAATATAATTACTCACGTGAAAAATTATAGAAACAGAATCAGGCAATCAAGGTGGAGGAGTGCAGTAGACTGAACTACTCTGGGTGTTCCTCAGTGGAATCCATGGTGTCATTACCTGGCAGAGTAAGATGGGTGGCAGCCATGTCTGCACCTGCCTTACTCAGCCACAGACACAGTGCTTCCCACAGCCACAGCCACAGCCGCAGCCCAGGTCACCAGAAAGATGGCTGTAATAGGACATGGTGTTCAGAAGTGGATGTTTCAGCTGTGGATCAGGAGGGAATTATTATTTTTCTCAATTTGAATGTCACCATCTGCAAATGAAATTTTATACACCTTCAATAGTGTATGAGGCAGTTTGTTTTCATATTTCAGAGAAAGCTGCATAATAAAACTTGACAAAATTTCTTTCAATAAGTGCAGATATATTTATAAAAAATGTAACTATTTTGTCTGAACTCAATAATAGTATTACATGCCCTTAATTAGAAGATGCTTCCTGTGTCTTGGTGATCTTCTCACTCTTTTTTTGTTATTAAAGTCTAGACTCAGGTTCCTTAAAATGTTAACAATATGCAAGCCCTTTGATCCAATTTTTTTTATTTACTTGTAATGATTTCTACTGGCTAGTCAAATATGCAGTCAGAAACTGGAAGTATATTTATTTGAGTGAGGAAGTGATACAAGTGGAAAGTTATCTGAAGTAAAATATCTTGTAAATTACACAATTTATTTCCTTCGGGTAAACAACTTTTCATCCCAAATAATATTTTCTATTGATTATTAACAGTGAACTGACCACATTTACAATAAAATGCTAACATAAAGTCACATATGTATTTGTTTTTTATCTGGAGAGTTTTATTTATTTGTCAGCATGACTTTGTTTCTGTGTGAGATCACTGTAAACATTTATTTAGGAATCGAAGTAATGGTGTGAGATCTCCTACATCTCACCTCTCGGGTTCCCATATTTTCACATTTGTTTTGATGTTGTCTTTGGACTTCTCCAGGAAAGTGTTTTTGAGACAGTGGAAAATAAATATGTGAAATATGGTAGTGGATCCACATAGCAGCCATCTGGGGGAATAAAGAATATTTGTTGTAAACAAATAAGGACACACATCTAAGGACTAAGATGAGTGCTAAGTACACACATCTAAGTAAACACACATCTTAGTACTAAGCTTGACCTAGAGGACTTCCTGCTCCAACTTTTAGCTTAAACATTTAAATTTAATAGTTTGGTGCTTTTTCTGACAAACTTAAAACCAATAGATGTTGTTATTTTTAAAAAATGAAACATGGAGTGCATCTCTTATTGCCTAAACAAGATCACGCACTAAAACACAGTAACAAGCAAGTGGACATTCATAAATATATATGCACATTTTAAAAGATGCTTATATATTAAAAAGAATTTTATTATGATGTTTTGATATAACTGACCTGAGATGCTCATTATAGTACTATGCTGGTTGCCAATATTGTTTGCCAAACTTGATGGTCTCTAGCGGTAATAAAGATGAATAGTTGCTTTGTTATCACTCTTCTCCCCTTCTTTGAATATAATAGTTTTTTCATCACATGACTAGAGTGGTTTTATGCTGGGAATGATCAACTTAGGAAAAAAATCCTCTAAATTTCCCAAGCTTCTTTGAAACCCACTCTAGTCATGTGATGTCTAAATTTCCCAAGCTTCTTTGAAACCCACTCTAGTCATTTGATGTCTAAATTTCCCAAGCTTCTTTGAAACCCACTCTAGTCATGTGATGAAGTTCTGAACAATGCATAAAATTTGAGGTATTATATGATGGTTTTATGGATCCTTCCTTAAGATTCAAGTTGCATGGAGTCTACCATCTTCTTTGTGTATTTCTTGGTCTTATTCCTTAGGACATAAATGCCACCATCTTTGACTATGAAGATGAAGGTCACATCTTATGTATGATGAAGCAATTATTTAGAATGAGTCTGGGTCACTGAGGACTAGAAACCAGCTAGAGATGACTTAGATCCAGACTCTGATTATGTGAGAGAGAAACACATTCTTAAAATGTATACTATATCTATCACTTGCAATAAATTCTACTCCTAACCAATACAACAATATAGAAAAAGGAATGGGAAAATTCTACTAGGAACCAAACTTTAGACAGTGTTTCCCCTTAAAAATTAAATATATCCCTGGGAACGATGGCAGCAAATATAAGAAAAGAAAGCCATGGGCTATATTATTCTCTTTGAAAAGAACCTCATTTATTCTATACACATTAATTGCCTCTAGAAAGTGAATTTTAAGTGGGGTTAGTCACTTGAGTTCTTATATTTGAGGTATTGATGACTTCGTCAACTTTCTTTTAAAATCCTTGTTAGAATATGTATCTATTATTTGAACCATACTTTTTAAAACCAACACACAGAGAGTCAGAGCATAGTGTTATTTCCTAATTAAGTAACTCCCATATTTGAGGATTTAAACCAAAATATTTCAGGCATGCTACTGCCTCAAGTAACCTACCTTCAAGAAATAATGGTGGATAGGATTAGTTTCTTTGGAGTAATTATTTTCAAACTCTTCGATCATAAAAAAAAATTTACTGAGGATCTTGAAAAGCCTTTGTTTATGTGTTATGTTTACTGATATTCACCTTCTTTTAAAATTAAAATTGATGATTTTAAAATATGAGTTAATTCATTTCAAAATAAGTAATAATTTCATATTTTTAGAAACATATTTTTTAAACCAAAAACTTCTTAGGAGTGGTAGAATGTTTTCCATGTTTTGTCAATCTCTTTAATGTCTGGCTTAATGGAAGACAGCTTCTTATATCTGATTTTGCATTTAGTCTGTTGTGATAACATGCGTATAGCTGGAAAATTCCACTGTTCATTCATGAATGTATGGCAGTAAAAATGAAAAATATATTATGAAAATAATTTTGCCCTTATTGAGACCTCAAAAGGGTCTTTGGTTCCCACACGTGTCCCTAGACCACACCTTGAAAAACTTTGGTCAAGAGCAGTGATCTTCAAACTGTGAGATGAGAAAACCATACTGTAAATATTTTAAACCTGCATTTCCAATTTCAATTCAACCATTTATTTAAAAGTTCTATACCTGTGTTAATTACTAATAATCATTAACAATAACACATATACAATATTTATAATGGTAAATATATTATTTTTGGTGTTTTTTGATATTTTAGAAAATTTTGGTTTAAGAACTGGCAATGCATAGGTTTGGAGTTCTGGTTTAAAATTCATTTTATTCTAATTACTGGAAAAGATATATTGTTTGCTGTATTCATTAAATCATGATACAAACTTTTAATCTCATTGTCTAGTTGTGTAATTTGTTTTTTAAATTTCCCTAATAAATATAGTTTCCTTAATGTCAATAGTTTATTTTTACAGATTAACTGAGAAGTTTGATTTTCATACAATGTGGTCAAAACTCACTGAAACTCTTTCATTTGGAAAAATGTAAAACCCAATTAGAATATTCTGTTACCAGGTACAAATAGTACACAAATACCAGAGTTTTATAAAGTATACAACTAGATAAACTTTAGTAATGTTACAACAGAAACAATCTTGAATATTCATGAAAAAATGCTCTCTCCCAATATAGCGGCATGCCTTGAATACTTTAGGAGCTGTTGCATGAATGCAATGAAATATGAAATGAACTTCATTATCAAAATCTCCTATCATAAACAGATTTCCTATAAAGACATCCGGGTTCCCAGATATGGCACAGCACTTCCTGTATACCATTCCACGCTGGATATAAGATCTATATCAACAACATCAGGCAACCGAGAGGCTTCATAGTAATGAAGCTACCAGAAGGCAGACAACTTGGAAAACTAATGGAAGCCACAACTTAAAATGCATGTGTGTTTCTGTGTGCTCTGGAGAAACAAGGACAGACAGACAGCAGCATGCAGCCACCAGACTTAGGTGTGTAGCTTGTCAAGCTAGAAGTAGAATTTGAAAGGAAAGCAATCAACTATGTCCCTATGGAAACTCAGTTTTAAACAGTATGAGATATATAGAGAGGGACAAAAAATAGGAAAATGAAATAAGATGTAGTGTCAACCCCTTGGGATAGTAATTATGCATAGGTTTCCATCTTACCATCATCCACATGCAAAGTTGACAATGCACATAATAAATGTGAAAACACACTATATTTGCAAACAGACTAAATTTATTTAAAGGACTTAATAAAAGGGAAAATTTAATTGCATTTTAAAACATGTTCTTTATCATCCTGCACAACAGAACCAGAGAAAGATAACATCTGTAGTTCTTTGATAATAGCCTAGATTTAGGTTTCTGCTAATTTGAAGACACAGGATCAGATGAACAAGAGCAGCCTGAGAATCCAAATTTCACAAGCAGACAAATCTGGTGAGCTCTAGAATTGTTCAGTAGAAACCATATGACCAGTATCTTCCATAACAAGATGGGTGGCAGCAGCCATTTCCATAGCCTCCATAGCCACGATAGCCACAGCCATAGCCACAGCCATAGCCACAGCCAAGCCCACCATACCCATAGCCACCATAGTAGTTAGTATAGTCAATCATGGTGTCAGAAATGGATGGTTCAGGTGTAGAAGAGGATGTTCTTGAATTTGAACATCTCCATCTTCACAGATCTTTTATACTTCCTCAGTAGTAGGTGTGGCAAAACAGGCAATGATGCTCTTATTATGAATTATTTTGGGTTGACCACTAACACCGCCAAGGCAACACTCTCATAAATATCTTATTTCATTAGGCATAGTGAAGCCTTCATAGCTAAGATTCCTCTATTGTTGTGTCAAGATTTTCACTATCAAAGAATGTGATTTGAATGATAGATTATTTTTAACCTGGTTTTAAAATCCTTTTATCCTGAGAGCACATACTAAAATTTCATGATGAAAGTCTATGAAATAGTAGAAACTATGCAAATCTCATCTGATTCAAATTGGTTTTGGTTTGTTAATTCCCTCATATTCATCTACCAGTTGCAGTTGAAGAAGTCTGTCTGCATGGCTTTGGGGGGATAGATGTGCCTCAGGGGCAAGTCTTTCGAGTATGAGATCTGTAATATTGCCCAATATTTCTTCAGAGATAGAACAGTTTATCTCACTTTAAATACACAATTCGGGTAACATTTTTACAAGATACAACTTTACAAATGTACAAATACACTTCATTTTACTGTTATACCAAATTCTATCTTGATTCATTATTTCCACTAAATGGCAAAACATTTATTCTTGTCCCTTCCAGGTACACTCAACAAAATTCAACCACTTTCTGGTTGTCAGTATTAAAATACAACTGCAATAAAGACATTACCACTCCTCATTCTCTGCCCGAGATGCACATCGATGTGCAGAGGTATGCTATTTGTTTTGAGGAGTACCATACCTGTTCTGCACTGACACCTGTGGATGGCATAACACATATTGCCATTTTCCATTGCCATAAAAATAAAACTCTGTTCAATCCATTACCTGGCATGAAGTGTTACATCCTTGGGGCTCTACAGCCAGAATAGTCTTTGTTTGTAGTAAGGAAATCAATGAGTCTCCACTCAGATCCACCTGGGTGAGAACCAGTCATTGTAAATCCACCTGCTTGTGCTATGTTTGTTGGGGAACTCGGTAGGACTTGCCCCTTCTCAGTAAAACCAGGATGTGACTTTCTCTATTTTTAGATGTACATCCTCAGTGCAGAGCTTCTCTTCCCTTCAGCTTCAAGGACATAATGCCCCTAAATGAGAACTTAAGCATGCTTGAGTTCTCTTATTCAGCTGATCAACTCTCTACTGAAGCTTCTATCCAGAAAAACAGGGATGGGATGAAATAAGTAAAGACAGCAAAATTTATTCTAGTATTCTGGTTCCTACTATGAACCAAACACTATTCTAAGTGTCTGATATGTATCAAAAGATTTGATTCTCAAAATTTCCTTGTGGGGTTGGTATCATTATTATAATCTCATTTGCAGATGGGGCAGCTGAAGCATGTAGTTAACAGTGATCAGACAGCTATGGATAGTAGAGACAAAATTTGAGCCTGGAAAGCTTATTGCAGATATCTTACTCTTATTTACTATATTCAACTCACTTTTATAAAGTCATCTTACTAAGAATGTAAGTCTAGAGGGCTACTTGACTTAATCATTCAGTTTAGCTCAGATTTTCACTGCTTTGAAAAAAAGATTAGGCTATAGTAACACATTCCTCATAGTCTCATATTTTGCCAAAGACTTCTTGTTTGATGGTGGAAATATACTAGTTTGCATGAAAAGAGACTTCTGCCAGTGTTATTGTCTTAAATATGAAAATACCTATACTCACGTTTGAGCCAGAACAAATACGACAAATGTCTTCAAATTTCAGGAAAATTTTTACAAAAATACAATTTTATAAATACAATGAAATCTCATTGATTACAAATCTGCAACTACGGGAAGAACTGTTGTTTTAAAACAGACTCACAAAAGAAAATAGTGATGTGAGAAAAAAAAGTATAGTTTTCTCATGCCTGGTATTTCAGAATTTCAAACTATTGGCTTTGTGTCGACAGTCTCTGGAAGCTGAGTGACGCTTTTTGGCTTTTAATAGAAAACCATCTCTCATGTGAAAATGAGAAGAATTCCTAAAGGAAAACAATGGGTTTGGAGCAGCAGGAAAGAGATGGAGAAACTCAAGCTCAAGGGAGATTACCATGACCTGTTGAATGTCAACCAAAATAAGGCAAAATTATTGGTTGTTTAGAACAGGTCAGTTTGTTTACTAAAATGCTATTTCTTGCCATAAAGGCTAGTTGGAAAATGGTAATTTGAATGTCTGGTGTGAGTAGAGTTTTAAAGATCAGACAGTTGATGCTCATTAAAGATATGCACAAATGTTTCAGATGTGGCTAAACAATAGAAAATGTTCTAAATGCCACAAGGCCACGAATGAAAACCAAAAGTCAACAAATTACTCATGCTGGTCCTTCAAATTAGCCAATGGCATGACTTGTGTGTGGTTCCCACCCACGATGAGGCATATAAAAGGCCCTCTGCAGGGGAAGTGTTCATACTGAAGTCACCTACACTTCCTCCTACCCAAGGACAACTTCCACAACCAACACCATGTGTGGCAGCTACTATGGAAACTACTATGGCGGCCGCGGCTATGGGTGCTGTGGCTATGGAGGCCTTGGCTGTGGCTATGGAGGCCTGAGCTGTGGTTATGGCTCCTGCTGTGGCTATGGAGGCCTGGGCTGTGGCTATGGCTCCTGCTGTGGCTGTGGCTTCCGCAGACTGGGCTGTGGCTATGGCTATGGCTCCCGTTCCCTCTGTGGCTGTGGCTATGGATGCGGCTCTGGCTCTGGCTACTATTACTGAGGATGCCATGGGAGACTCTCACCCTCTATCCTGTGATATTGAGATGCACGAATTCTGAAGCCCATATGTTCTGAGATTTTCCCTTAAGTGATGATATCCTGCAAGAGAAGTCTAAAATGGTCTGTTGTTGAGCTACCATCTAACCTACAAATATCTTGAATTTTCATCATGAAATGGGATAAGGTGAAATTCACCAGTCAGTTCTCCTTTCATCAGAATGATGGTGTCACAGCACCTGCCTTGATGACTTTTATGCTGGAGCTTTATTCTCTGTTCACCTAATAAACACTTTTAATCCAGAAGGGAAACCTGGTGTTTATGTCAATCATTTAATATTTTAAATTTCTTACCAATAGTTTTTGTTTCGGTTTGCATGAAAGCTAACAATTAAGTTCTTTGGGAGATATTTTTTCTTACAATTTCTAGAGAGGTTTCTTTACCAATTCAAAGTTCAATTGTTTTAGAAAAGTAACCCTTTTAATAAACTTCAGTTTCGTCCTTTGCTTCTAGGGGAAGAATATATGTTGTGCTGGGTAACTCTCAACACTAAATTAAGTACATATCATTTATATGTTGGGTTATGCATTGCCTGCTGTCTGTCACATAACAAAGAAAAAAATTAATTTTCCCAAGCCTTCTTGTAAATATCTCTTAAAATAAATGAATGCTTGTTACTATATCCTTCACTTTGAATCTTCCATTTTAAAGAAACTATTTTTTAATGAAACATAACTGAAGGAATAGTTTACAACCTAGTATACTCTAAGCTAGTAATAGGTTATAAAGCTATTTGGCCTGCATGGTGGGCCATAATAATTAAATAAAAACACTATTTGAGGTATAAACCAAGAAGCTTCAAAGTCTCCCAAGGCTGCAATTCAGGATGTTAGATGGGGCTGTGGTTGTACCCAGGGCTTAGCTGGGGAAGGACCCATTTCCAAGGTCATGCCTTTGTTAGCAGAATTCAGTTCCTTGCAGTTGTGGGATTAAAGGGCTCATTTTCTTGCTGGCCATTTGTTGCAGTGCCTTGAAGCTGTCTTTTGGAGGCTACCCTCAGCTCCAAAAGGATGCTCACAGTTCCTTGTCAAAGTGGTTTCGAAACATAATTGCTTGTTTTTTCAAAACCAGCAAGGGACTCCAGCAAGATGGGTACTACAGTGTTATGTAACATAATCACATAAGCACACATAATTGTAAACATTCACTGTATTCTATTGGCTAAAAGCAACAGGTCTCGCCCTCACGCACAGGGAGGGGCTTACACAAGAGTATTGACATCTGGAGGTAGGAATCATGGGGCATGTTGATTCTTCTCACTGCAAATTCAATGCATACAGTAGTTTTCCCTTAACCATAATTTCAGTTTCTGCAGTTTCAGTTACCCAAGATCAGCCACTGTGAGAAAATATTAACATATTCTGAGAGAGAGAGAGAGAGAGAGAGAGAGAGATGGAGGGGAGAGAGAAAGACTGTATTTACATAACTTGTTTTTACAGTAATTGTTATGTGTTCCTTTTATTATCAGATATTGTTGTTAAGCTTGTACTGTTACTATTTTGTAAATTAAACTTTATGACAGGTATGTATGCTTATGGAAAAAACATACTATATATAGGCTTTGTTACTATCATGGTTTCAAGCCTTCACTGGGCATTTTGGAACTTATCCTTTCGGATAAGGGGGACTACTATACACCCTTCATAAAAGGAATTAAGAAGTTGTCCTTCATTTTAAGTGCTCTTTGACAGTTTATACAATATTGAGATTGCTCTGTCTTTAAATATTTGGTAGAAGTCTCCTCAGAAATCATCTGGGTTTGGGCTTTTTTTGTTGTTGATTTTTATTTTTATTTTTCATTTAAAAACTCTGTCCCTTAAAGTCATTTTTAAAAAAAACTTTGGCTGGGTGCAGTGGCTCACGCCTGTAATCCCAGCACTTTGGGAGGCCGAGGCGGGCAGATAATGAGGTCAGGAGATTGAGATAATCCTGGCCAAGATGGTGAAACCCCTTCTCTACTAAAAATACAAAAATTAGTTGGGTGTGATGGTGCGTGCCTGTAATCCCAGCTACTTGGGAGGCTGAGGTAGGAGAATCACTTCAACCCGGGAGTCGGAGCTTGCAGTGAGCCGAGATTGCGCCACTGCATTCCAGCCTTGGGAGAGAGCGAGACTCCATGTCAAAAAAACAAAGCAAAAACAAATCAAAACAAAACAAACAAACAAAAAACACTTTTATTTTAGGTTCAGGGTAGACATACAGGTTTGCTACTTAGGTAAATTTGTGTCACAGGGGTTTGTTGTACAGATTATTACATCATCCATGTAATAAGCGTAGTACCCATTAGTTATTTTTCCTGCTGCTCTCTCTCCTTCTACCTTCTGGTAGTCCCATTGTGTGCCCTCTATGTGTCCATGTGTTCTCATCCTTTAGCTCCCACTTGTAAGTGAGAACATGTGGTGTTTGGTTTTCTGTTCCTGAGTTAGTTTGCTGAGGATAATAGCCTCCACCTCTATTCATGTCCCTGCAAAGGGCATGATCCCTTTCGTTTTTATGGTTGCATAGTATTCCACGGTGTGTGTGTACCACATTTTCTTTATCTAGTCAATCATTGATGGGCATTCATGTTGATTCCATGTCTTTGCTATTGTGCATAGTGTTGTAATGAACATATCCATGCATGTGTCTTCGTAATATAATGATTTATAGTCATTTGGATATATACCCAGTAATGGGATTGCTGGGTCAAATAGTAGTTCTATCTTTAGGTCTTCTGGGAATCACTGAAGTCTTCCACAATGGTTGAACTAATTTACACTCCCACCAACAGTATAAAAGCATTCCTTTTTCTCCACAACCTTGCCAGCATCTTTTTTTGACTTCTTAATAATAGCCATTCTGACTGGTGTGAGATGGTATCTCATTGTGGTTTTGATTTGCATTTCTCTAATGAACAGTAATGTTGAACTTTTTTCATATGATTGTTGGCTACATATAGGTCTTTTTTGAGGAGGGTCTGTTAATTTTTTTCATTAATTTTAAGGAAATGAGTCTGTTTATGATTTCTAAGTTGAGAGGTGTTCATTTTGGTCATCTTCACTTCTCCAGGGCATTAGCAATTTACGTACGTAGAGCTCTGTAAACCAGTCTCATATGGTGTTTCAAATGTCTTCTGTTTAAATGTTTATTTTCCCCCTTACTATTAATTTTGCATACGGTTTCTCAGTTTTTTCTTTGATCAAGTTAGCAGGTAGTTTATAAGTTTTGTTAATCTTTCAAATAATAGCATTTCATGTCATTACATGTATTTTTTTCTTTTTGTACCTCATTAATATCTCCTTCTCTGTTTATTATGTTAATCTTTGTGGATTTTTCATTGACTTAATTGTCCCTTGTGAAAATATTTGAGCTAAAACACAATTCATATTATATAATTAATGAAATATAATTAATATTTCATAATATTAATTTATTTTCTTCTATTTTTACTGATAATGTGTCAGTGCTATGAATTTTTCCTAACCACTTAAAAAATATTTCTCATAGGCTCTGTTACAGATTAAACTAACATTAATTATTGAAAATCTGTAATTATATTTGTGTACCTTCTTTCATCCAAGAATTTTTTTAAAATATAAGGCTTGTTACTTTCCAGGTTAAAGAATTTTTCTGTTCTTTGTTCTTGTTAGTAGTTATTAATATTGTTGTGTGACATCAGAGAGTACCTTTCCCATTATTTCTGTTTTATAAAATGAATTTTTTTTCTGCCGCACGTTATGTATGACCTTTTTGTGGATGTTCTATGAGAACCAGAGAAAAAAGGTATGTTATTTATTATCAGGGTATAAAGGTCATTATTATCAGGATATAAAGGTCAATCTGTATAAATGAGAGCTACCGTCTGAATATATTGTTTAGATGTTATCTCTGCTTATTTATTTTTTCCACTTGATCTGTCTTGTTCCAAGAGTGTTGCTTATTAGTGTGATTCTACTTATGTCTCTCAGTGGCATATATCTGGTATCTGTGTCTTCATAAAGGGGGTCTTAGGGTTATTTGGTGCATAAATATACATAAATATAATACATACCTTGTGATTTGCGTGTCTCTTGCTTGGTAAGTTTTCTTCTTTATCACTTTTAATGCCTTTTCCCTCATTTCTATTTATCTGATAGTGGAGCTGTTATTTTTTTTTACTGGGACATTTTTCCCAGACACCTTTGTGCATAGCTTTAATTTTGCATTTCGAAATCATTTTGTTTCAGGTGTTTATATAAAACAAATAGTTAGGCTTAGTTCAACAGCCAAATTTAAAATGTTTACTTTAATTAATTAAATTCACATGTATTGCTCTGACTGGTATGTTTGCTCCTATTCTTTATGTTTTAATGAATACCCACAAAAATTAAAAAAAATTTAATGGTATTTTGATGGTTTATAGTTATTTTAGTGGCTGTCTGGTTACCTTTGTATATATACCAATTTTAATGTTCTTAGTTACCTCTTTTTAAATTTAACATATTATTATCTGACATAATAGCTTATATTAATATTAACTTCCTCTCTTGTCTATAAAACAACAATTAGCTTGTTCTCTTTTCCTCTTCCATTCTTCTTCTATTATCCCTTTGTCATTTAGTTGGATTATAACTACTTTTCCATCACAAAATACATTATTTATGTATTATTAATCCTCCCATCTAATCACTATATTTGGTAGCACACCAAATTCATATCATCACATACATACATACACGTATATATTCATACCAAAACACATATATTTGTACCCCACACACTCACAGACACACATGTACGCATATATATATTCAGTACTTTGCTTCACATTTCTCATTCATCCCTTGATTGGATGAGGCTCACCCTCTAGGGTGTTACTCAACATGGGCTTGTGGATGCAAAAATGTCTACTGTTTTGAATGTAGGAAACTGTTGTTCTAATCCATTGATACATGGAAAGCAGCTTTGTTAGATATAAAGACCTTGGATAAAGCTTTATTTTATTAGGTTCTTTAAAATGCTTTTCTTTTTTCTTTCTTTGTATGTCACTTTTGAAAATTCCTATTAATAGCCTAATTTTTTTCCTATTGTAAATTGTGTAATTGTTTTCCTGGGCACTTTGAATAAGTTTGTTTATGATTGAAATCTAATATTTTAATGGTATTTATATTATAATTGGTAATTCTAGATTAATATTCACTGCCCCTATTTAGGACATGTCCATAAGTAATTCAGGTCAAAGAAGAAAACAAAACAAAACAAAATTAACACCCAAAGTATCATAGCTAAACCATGAAAAGTAAAGACAAGGGAAAAGATCTTGAAAGCAGCAAGAAAGGCCAGGTGCGGTGGCTCACACCTGTAATCCCAGCACTTTGGGAAGTGGAGGTGGGAGGATCTCTTGAGGCCTCGAGTTTGAGACCAGCCTGTGTAAGATAGTGAGACCCCGTCTCCAGTAAAATTACAAAAATTAGCCAGGCGTGGTGGTGCAGGCCTCTAGCCTCAGCTACTTGAGAGGTTGGGGCAGGAGAATTTCTTGAACCTAGGAGGTGGAGGTTGCAGTGAGAAGAGATCATGCCACTGCATTCCAGCCGGGGTGACAGAGCGAGAGCCTGTCTCAAAAAACAAACAAACAAAAAACAAAAAAACCCAAAGCAACAAGAGAGACAGAGAGACATAACACATTACCATTACCTATAGGGTAACACCAATTTGAATGACCACTGATTTCTCCTCTGAAACTATGCAGTAATGAAGGAAATAGCACAATATTTTTCGAGTGCTGAAATTGCCTTGAGATATTTCACACTGGCAAAATTATCCTTCAGAAATAAAGGGGCAATTAAAACAACATCAGATGCAGAAAAACTAAAATAATTTTTTATGAACAGGCATATACTAAAAGATTGCCTAGAAAAAACTCTTGAAACAGAAAGAAAATGCTAAAGGAAGAAATCCTGAAACATCAAGAAGGTATAATTTAAAGAATAAGATTATGATTACATACAGTAGGTTATCCTCTTCCTCATAAGTTTTAGAAATCATATATGGTGAGTGAAAATTATAACACTATTTTATAGAAAAATAACATAAAAGTAGACATTGTAAAATGACCTAATTGGAAATAAAGTTTTCACATTTCACTTATAGTAGTAAGTGTTGATACCAGTAAACTCTTATAAGTTGCATGTGTATATTATACCACCCAGAGGAAGCATTAGAAAAACTGTGCAAATGTATACAATCGATGATACTATGAGTCGTTTAGGATGCTATATGTTCAAGAAAAGCATAGAAAGGCAACAGAAGTAAACAGTGCAACAAGACTTAAAGCAAACAAATAGAAAAACAAATAAATAACATACTTAGACACAAACATAACAATACTTAACGTTAAATGCTCATGTTTTAAATACACCAATCAAAGGACAGACTTGGCAGAATGGATTTAAAAAAAAAACACAGCATCACCCTATTTATATTGTGTTACAAAAACTCATTTAATGTTCATTGACATGAGTAGGCTGAAAGTAGAATAATAAAAATAGTATGCCATGCAATCATTAATAAAATAAGACAGAAGTGGCCATATTAATACCTGATACAATAGGCTTCAAACTAAAGAAAATTACAGGAATCAAAGAAAAAATATAACACAATGTATGGATTACTCAACCAGGAAAATGCAAAAATTCTAATTTTTCATGCAAAAAGTAAGAGCCTCAAAATACATGAAGAAAAGTTGATAGAACTAAAAACAGGAATAGACAAATCCACAATTATACTTGGATATTTCAAAGCTCCTGAAAAACTAATAAAACTAGTATACAGAAAATAAGCAAAGATCCAGATTATCTGAACAACATAGTCAATAGGGTCTATATAGAATAAATCACCCAACAATGAGACTATATCGTATGTTACATATATAGATATTTATCAAATGGCTTTTTCCTCATTTTTGAAATGTAACTTTTGTTGGACGTAAGTTTTTTCCCAGTTGACTTTTTTTTTTTCCTTTTAGCAATATGAATATGTCATCCTACTGCCTTCTGACATCCATTATTTCTGATTTGATGTTAGTTGTTAATCTTATTAGGAGTTTCTTTTTTGTGACAAATAATTTTTCTCTTGGTGCTTCCAAAATTTTCTTTATGTCTTTATATTTTGACCTATTTATTATTATGTGTTTTGGTGTAGATCTCTTTGAAATTAATTTTGTGGAAGTTCATTGAGCTCTATGTTAATGTTTTATCAAATTTAGGGAGCTTATAGCTATTATGTTTTCAAATAATCCTGCTCCTTACTCTCTTTTCTTCTAGTACTGTCATTATGTGTACATTGGCACACTTAATGGTTTCCTACACTTTTTTTGAGGCTCTGTTTATTTTTTTAACCTCTATTATTCAGATTATATAATCTCTATTAATTTATTTTATGATCATTCATATATCCTTACTTCTGTCAGTTCACATCATCTCCTTTTAAATTCAGTCATTTTAGAGATTGTCAAAAATTGCCAATACTATTTCAAGTCATCACAGCAGGGTATAGGAAAAAGTTTTAGTTAGCAATAATCATGCCTGGGATAAACCTCACTGGCTTTGATACTATCACTGCACAAAGCTTATACATCAATTCTTGAGGCTGTCCATGTAATACAATTCTCATTTCAATACTTGTAATTTTCAATGGCATAATTTTCTTTTTAAAAACATAATAATTTTATTTCATCCAATAAGTCCAGTATAGTATTTTAATGTGTAATCATAATCATAATATAAAATAATGTGAAATTATTGAGATAGTTGATATCCTTTTTTTTTTGTGAAGTAAGTCTTTACACTCCAGTGTGTATTTTACACTTAGCGCATCTTCATTTGGTCAACTATCATTCACGTTCCAATGGCCACATGTGGCTAGGGCCCAAAAGTGTATAGAAAGAGGAACAAATCCAATCCCAGGAATTAGATATGAGGTTAAATTACTGTCTTTATAAAACTCTGTTTTCTGTCAATCAAATTTTTACAAATTGCTTCTTTCCTTTGTAAATTATTTCCTCTTGCTTTCTAGCTTATGTACTATTTAAAGACACTTAAGTTTACAACCCATAACAGAAGAAGAATAGAGATTGGTGAAAATGGAGATGTGACTGGCCCTATGATATTCTAAATTGGCAATTAGATGGTAATGGGAATATTGTCTTTGTGAAAGTTGGAGAGTATATATTGACAAATTCTAAGTTTGAACTTTTGATCCCAAATAATGCCACAATATTTTTTGATACCAAATCATCAGAAATTAGTTACTCTGACATCTTACTTTGTTTGTTTATACAAATAATTGCATTTCTATATTGTTTCAGGCACTTACAGAATATCAAACCCCTAAACACCTACAGTTGGGCATTTTAAAAACAGTTTTTTCACATACAGTACATATCTTTCTTTTTTTTTTAACCTTCTACTTTTAAGTTCAGGGGTACATGTGCAAGACGTGCAGGTTTGCTACATAGGTAAACATGTGGCATGATGGTTTGCTGCACAGATCATTCCTTCGCCTAGGTGTTAAGCCTAGCATCCATTAGTTATTCTTCCTGATGCTCTCCCTCTCCCCATGTCCCCTTCTTGGGAAGGCCCCAGTGTGTGTTGTTCCCCTCTATGTGTCCATGTGTTCTCATCATTCAGCTCCCACTGATAAGTGAGAACATGATGTGGTATTTGGTTTTCTGTTCCTGCATTAGTTTGCTGAGGATAATGACTTCCAACTCCATCCATGTCCCTGCAAAGTACGTGATCTCATTCCTTTATATGGCTACATAGCATTCCATGCTGTATATGTCCCACATTTTCTTTATCCATTCTATCATTGATGAGCATTTAAGTTGATTCTATGTCTTTCCTATTATGCATAGTGTTGCAATGAGCATACGTGTGCATGTGTCTTTATAGTAGAATGATTTATATTCCTTTAGGTATATACCCAGTAATAGGATTGTTGGGTCAAATTGTAGTTCTGACTTTATGTCTTTTGGGAATCACCACACTGTCTTCCACAATGACAACTAATTTACACTCTCACCAACAGTGTAAAAGTTTCCTTTTTCTACAGAACCTCTCCAGCATCTGTTGTTTCTTGACTTTTTAGTAATCGCCATTCTGACTGGTGTGAGATGGTACCTCATTGTGGTTTTGATTTGCATTTCTCTAATGATCAGTGATGTTGAGCTTTTTTTCATATGTTTGTTGGCTGCATGTATGTCTTTATTTGAGAAGTGTTTGTTTATGTTCTTTGCACACTCTTTAATGAGGCTGCTTGTTTTTTTTCTTGTAAATTTTTTTAAGTTCCTTGTAGATGCCAGATATTAGATCTTTGTCAAATGGATAGATTGCAAAAATTTTCTCCCATTCTGTAGGTTGTCTGTTCATTCTAATGATAGTTTCTTTTTCTGTTCAGAAACTCTTTAGTTTAATTAGATCCCATTTGTCAATTTTGGCTTTTGTTGCAATTGCTTTTGTTGTTTTCATCATGAAATCTTTGCCCATGCCTATGTCCTGAATGATACTGCCTAGATTTTCATGTAGGATTTTTATAGTTTGGAGTTTTACTTTTAAGTCCTTAATCCATCTTGAGTTGATTTTTGTATAAGGTGCAAGGAAGGGGTCCAGTTTCAATTTTCTGCATATGGCTAGCTAGTTCTTCCAGCACTGTATTTTAAATAGGGAATCCTTTTCCCATTGCCCTTTTTTCTTTTCTTTTTTTTTTTTTTGGTCAGGTTTGCTGAAGAGCAGTTGGTTTTAGGTGTGTGGTCTTATTTCTGAGTTCTCTGTTCTGTCCCCATTGGTCTTTGTGTCTGTTCTTATACCAGTACCATGCTGTTTTGATTACCATAGTTTTGTAGTATAGTTTGAAGTCGGGTAGCATGGTGCCTCCAGCTTTGTTCTTTTTGCTTAAGATTGTCTTGGTTATTCGGGCTCTTTTAATGTTGCATATAAATTTTAAAATAGTTTTTTTTCTAATTGTGTGAAGCATGTCAACAGTAGTTTAATGGAAATAGCATTGAATCTATAAATTACTTTGGGCAGTATGGACATTTTCACATTATTGATTCTTCCTATCCATGAGCATGGAATGTTTTTCCATTAGTTTGTGTCCTCTCTGATTTCTTTGAGCAGTGGTTTGTAGTTCTCTTTGAAGAAGTCCTTCACTTCCCTTGTTAGCTGCATGCCTAGGTATTTTATTCTATTTGTAGCAATTGTGAATGGGGGTTCATTCATGATATGACTGTCTGCTTGTCTGTTGTTCATGTATAGAAATGCTCATGCATTTTGCACATTGATTTTGTATCCTGAGATTTTTCTGAAGTTGTTTATCAGCTTAAGAAGCTTTTGGGCTAAGACGATGAGGTTTTCTAAATATAGGATTGTTCTTCAGTATGCCAATTGCATTTTTCAGCTCCAGAATTTATGCTTGATATTTTCTAATTATTATAATTTCTATTAAGTTTATCTGATAGAATTCTGAATTAATTCTTTGTGTTATCTTTAATTTCTTTGAGTTTCCTCAACCTATCTATTTTGAATTCTCTCTCTGAAAGGTTACATATCTCTGTTTCTCCAGGATTGGTTGCTGGTGGTTTATTTAGTTCATTTTGTGGTGTCATGTTTTCCTGGATGGTGTTGTTGCTAGTAGGTATTCTTCAGTGTCTGGGCATTGAAGAGTTAGGTATATGTTATAGTCTTCACTGCCTGGGCTTATTTGTAGCTGTCCTTCTTGGGAAGGCTTTCCAGATATTTGAAAGGACCTGGGTGCTGTGATCTAAGCTGTTTCTACTTTTGGGGGCACGTGAAGTCCAGTAATGCTGTGGTTCTTGCAGACTCATAGAAGTACTGCCTTGATGGTCTTAGACAAGATCTGGGACAATTCTCTGGACTACCAGGCAGAAACTCTTGTTTTCTTCCATTATTTTCTCCCAAATATAGAGTTTTTGTTTCTGTTCTGAGCCACTAAAAGTTGAGGGTGGAGTGACACAGGCACCACAATGGCCAACATCACTATGACTGCACTGGGTCAGACCTGAAGCTAGCATAGCACTAAGAGTCTCACCCAAGGCCTGCTGGAACCACTCCCTGGCTACTGCCTATGTTTGCTCAGGCCCTGGTGCTCTTCAATCAGCAGGTGGCAAAGCCAGCCAGGCCTGTGTCCTTCCCTTCAGGACAGTGAAGTTCCCGAGGCCTCAGGTAGGTCCAGAAATGCCATCTGAAAGTCAAGGACTAGGGTCAAAAACTTTAGAAGTTTTCCTGGTGTTCAACTGTATTGTAGCTGAGCTGGCACTCAAACCACAAAATAAGATACAGTCCTTCTCACTCTTCCTTTCCCTTTCCAAAGACGAGGAGTCTCATCTTGTAGTCACTGCCACCCCTGGCCATGAGGAGAATTGACAGAATACCTCCTATGTTCCCTTAAGGCCCAAGTTTCCTTAAAGGCAGCTGTGGTGAATGCTGCTTTGCCTAGGACTCACCCTTTAGGACAGTGGGTTCCTCTCTGGCCAAGGGCAGGCCCAGAAATGCCATCCACGAGTCAAGTCTTAGAATCAAGGACACCCAAGAGCCCGCTTGGTGCTCTACTCCCTTGTGGAGGTGTTGGTACCTAAGGTGCAAGACAAAGTCCCCTTTACTTTGTCTTCTGCTTTTCTTAAGCTGAAGGAGTTTTGCCCTGTAGCCACCACAATGAGAATGTGCTGAGTTTCACCTGAAGCCAGCAAATCTCAGAGGCTCACCAAGGCCCTCAGTGTAGTACCTGGGTATCACTCCCCGTTATCCAGGACCCAAGAGCGCTTTAGTTAACAGTTGATGAAAGCTGGGTCCTTTCCTTCAAGGCAGTAGTGTCCCTTCTGACCCAGGATGTGTCTAGAAATGTTGTCTGCAAGCTAGGTCCTGGAAAGTGGGCCTCACGACTCTGCTGCCCTATTCTGCTGTGACTGAGCTGGCATCCAAGATGCAAGTCAAAGCCCTTCCCTCAAAGGGAAGGAAGAGGACTCTTTTGGAGCTGTGAGCTCTGTAGCCCCTAAGGTTATGGAAGAGATGAAGCCAGCATTCCCTTCGCTGCCCAAGTAGTGTCTCAGTATGTTGCGTTCTTCCCTGCCCTCCAGTCCACAGGCTCTTGGCCTGGGTCAGCCCTAGGACTCTCCTAGAAGTTGCAGTCCTTATGGGCTTGATTGCCTTTCAAGTTTACTTAGAGAGAGAGAACACTTTGGCCCTTGATGGAGAGGTTTGCAGGCACTCAAGTTGGACCACTGGGATTGGTGATTCCCGTCTGGTCAGGGCTGGTGTAAATGCTCCCTTCTGTCTGTGAGTGTCAGCTGAGTTTGCCCTGGCTTTCCTTTCTGCTCTAACAGAACAGCACTGAGTTTAATGCCTCACAATTGCTGTGTTCTCCATCCCCCAGGATCCAGAGATTCTCCCTACACCAGGTTGCCCTTGCTAAAGATGTGGGGAGGGGTGGCATCCGCAATTCAGGACTGTATCTTCTATCTGTTTAGAATCTCCTTCAGCAGTATGAAGTTAAAAACAGGTACTATGAGTGTTTACCTTATTTTTGGTTATTATGAAGGTGCTTTTTTCTGTGTAGTTTTTAACTTGCTGTCCTTGCTGGGCGGGGGAGGCGATTGGTGGAGCTTTCTATTTTGCCATCTTGCTCTGCCCCTGACTCTCATTTATTTCTTTAAGCATGGTTTCCTTTTGTACTTTGAACATATGTAAATGGCTAAAATATTTGTCTAGTATGTTTAACATCTGGATGTTCTCAGAGACAGTTTCTGTTGCTTGGTTTTTCACTGGTATATGGTCATATCTTCCTGTTTCTTACATCTTCTCTCCCTCTCTCTCTCTCAACTGGACATTTTAGATTTTATATTGTAGAAACTCTAGATATTCTCTCCTCCCCCTTCCCGAGCTTGTTGTTTGCTCATTTGCTTACAGACTAGGCTGGGCTGTGTTACTGAGTTCGGCATGAAACTTCTGTTGTTATTCCTTAAAAGGCACAGCTACAGCATGTGTACTGTATTTCTGAGGTTTCGTCTGAACCCTCTTAGATTTTCTCTTTCCTTCCTCTCTCTGATAAGCTGTTGGACTTTGTTGGTATTACACTCAGCTGTTAGGCACAATAATTTTTAGGGGATTGTGTCATTATTTTTGACAATGCTCTTGGATATAAACTGCTTCACAACCTGATTCAATTAAATTTAGACTCATAACACAATTTGAGTATAAAATACACAATTATTGTTTATAGTAGCTATGCTGTATATTAGATCTCTTGAACTTATTCATCTTATAACTGAAGGTTAATACTCTTTGACTAACATGTCCCATTTCCCCCACCTTCCAGTCTTGGCAATAACTATACTACTTTGTCTTACCAGTTTACTAACAGAGTAGATATTAAGGGTTCTCACCACAGGGGTAGCAAAGGTAATCATGTAAGGTTATGGATATATTAATTAGGTTGTTTGTGGTAATTATTTTACTATGTGTATGTGTGTGTATATAAAATCACATTGCATATATTAAATACATACATTTTTATTTGTCAATGGCACCTCAATTAAGCTGGAAAAAATGAATAAATTTGAATTCTTTGTCAAAGTTTTTGAGGCCAGTCTGAAATCTGCTCTGAACCCAGAGGGCTTCTCCTGGATATCTTTTCTGGTTCTCTCTGATACACTTGCTGGCCTATGGTTTAGTTGGTTGCTTTCAGGGTGTATTAGTCCGTTCTAACACTGCTGATAAAGACATACCGGAGACTGGGCAATTTATAAAGAAAAAGAGGTTTAATGAACTCACAGTTTCACGTGGCTGGGAAGACCTTACAATCATGGCAGGAGGCAAAAGGCATGTCTTACATGGCAGCAGGCAAGACAGAATGAAAGCTAAGTGAAAGGGAAAACTTCTTACAAAATCATCAGATCTTGTGAGACTTATTTACTACCATGAGAACAGTATGGGGGAAACCACCCCCATGATTCAATTATCTCCCACTGGGTCCCTCCCAAAACACATCGAAATTATGAGAGCTATAATTCAAGGTAATATTTGGGTGGGAACACAGCCAAACCGTATCACATGGTGAAACTAGTTTTCTCTTAATTACTTATCACCGTCGCCATTGTTTCAAAGTATAAACTTAAGTTTACATCTCCTACACGCTCTTCTAAATCAACTAGCTCACTTGAGAAAAGATTCAGATCTCTATGTTCTTATGGCTTGCCTTTTGCCTGTGCAAAATGTTGAAGCAACTACTCCAGAACTGGGAATAGGAACAACTACTTGCTTATTCTCTTATAGAGACATAGCGTCATTACTAGCACTCTCTGGGTTTGGGCAGTAGCCTCTAGTTTTTTAAGCTTGCAATATCTGTCATGTAACATCTCTCTTATTAATGATCAGGTTGGTGGAAAGGGTGATAGGAGCTTAAGATAATTGGCCTGTCATGCCTTTGGTAGATCCCTGGCACTACAAGTGGGAAAAAGGTAGAGGAATGGAGACACATACCTCTTGGTCACATTCACTTGGACTTTAGCCACTGCCACACGGAACTAGACAGCCTGAGATCATGCTAATCACCTGCACACAGAGGAGAGATACTGTAGCCCTTCAGATGGGGAGAGAAGAAGCACTATAACTTGGTCTCACTATCCAGACTGGTGGGTCTGTCATGGTGAGCTAGAGGAGGAAGTATGAAAAGAGCTGATTGTGAACAAGTGAGTCAAGTCTCTCACCCTAGATTTTGTAGATTTTCCTGAATAAATGTGTCTTTATTTGCTGTGGGACCTTACAACAAATTACCAAAGACTTTAATTTTTCTAAAGTATGTAATAAGTCTGATGAGAGCTTGATATGTGATGAGCAGTTTTCTGAGTATGTTGGCTTATTGAGTCCAAAGTCATAGGTTTTACAGAATTCTTACTCTGACTTTTTTGACCATTAAATAGGACATTCTGGGGATCTGTCTCTTAAGATTCCTGCCCACTATGGCAGAATTAAAGCCAAGGCTCTAACAAAGATGCTTTCTTCAGTCTCCCTTCAGTTTCACTGCCTGTCAATACTTGGAGATGTCAGAGTGACACGGCTCTATATGTTGTCTGCCTTTAATTGATGAAGAATTAAAAACAATTCTTCATTATTGTTTCATCTAGATGTGTTAAAAATCATATATTTGGAAGCTAGTTAAGAGTTTAGCCAACTTCATACTATGGCAGCCATTAACAAAGTAATTTTGTATGAATATTTTATCAGTTGTAGAAACTCTAAATTCTAACATTAGTCACTAACAGATATTTTTGCTTTATATTTTATCAATGTCAACTGATAAATAACAAGTAGAGTGAATAAAGAACAGCTTTACTTAACTTGACCAAGGCTGGCAAACTGAAGTCTATACTTTTCAGCTTGTATTTTGGATCAGACTTGTGTTTTCATGAACAAAGTATTACCTGAGGTGGCAGATAATGACATTGATAAAAGGTTCGCAGAAACATGCTTAAATTTGATGGACTCTTTCTGGCCACATGGGAATGACACTTGGAAGAGCTGTCTATGCAGCCACCAGGCATAGGATGAGTTTAAGAGTATATTTTGACAGAGTTAAAAGAAACAGTCATAATATAGCATTTAGAGAAAAAGCCACAGCTATCTAGAGCCAAAAATGCAACTAAGTATCAAGAAATATAATGTATGTGAAATAGAATAAAGTGATGAGAAAGGGGGTGCTATTTTTGCCAATGATTTTAGTCAAATATTGGACATACCGAAGATGAAGCTTTGATAGATCAAGGTAAATTTTGGTACCACTTGGCTCTGCCCATGAAAACACATTTTATTAAAGTCCTGGTTGAATATAGCTATTGGTCAGACCTAACACATCCACATCATCAACTATAAGTTTCCAATGGGTCAGCAACCTCACACGTGCTCATGAAGACACACATACAATCACAAATAACATAGGTAGTCTAGATAAATAAATATAGGTAGGAAAATGCTGTAGCTTTGCAAAATAGATTACTTTTGATGAAAAATAAATTTAGACATTTTCCCAAATGAAAATACTTAAGATTATTTGTACTTAATCATATACTAGTAACACAACATGAAAGGTTCTGTTTTTGTTTGATTAAATTGTTGGAACTTCCAGCTAACTGATCAAATACATTCTGATATGGCAATGTGGGCTAAATTTTAGTTGTCACTCTTTGAACAGAAAAAATGTCGTTATTATAAATAACATGGGAAGAAAACATAGCTTATAAGACAATGGCCTAAACAGATCAGCAATGTTGAATTTCTCAGAAGCAGCCAGAAAACCAAGATCTTTCATAGCACCATGGGCAGTAGAAGGCATAGCCATAGCCACTATGACCACAGCCATAGCTGCAGCCCAGGCCTCCTTTGGCATAGCCCTGGCCACAATGGAAGTTGTTATAAAAACTCATAGTTTCAAGAAAGGTAGGCTCAGTTGTATAGCACAGTCAGATTCTGGAGTTTTAAGTTTAAAGTTTTAAGTTTATAATAAGGGCCTTAAATACCTCATGAGTGGTATATGGGGCAAACCACAGGCACTGGTGGATTCACATTGCACACTAATTAGCATTGAAGCCATCTAAAATATTCCTTGTAACCAATACATCCAAGACAACATTGCTGCTTCTCAGGAATGTTGAATGTAATGAAATAATGTACTTTTAATAAGAGATTCTTCTCCTATTTTGATGACTTGTTTTATTCCAGATGTCAAATTTAAACTATATTACCAGCAACCAAGAGTAACCCATATGGCTTCCATTTTTATTTATTTATTTATTTATTGTTTGACATGGAATCTTGCTCTGCCACCCGGGCTGGAGTGCAGTGGCATGATCTCAGCTCACTGCAACCTCTGCCTCCCAGGTTCAAGCAATTCTTCTGCCCCAGCCTTCCAAGTAGCTGGGACTACAGGCGCCCGCCAGCACCCCCAGATAATTTTTGTATTTTTAGTAGAGACGGGGTTTCACCATATTGGCCAGGCTGGTCTCAAACTCCTGATCTTGTGATCCACCTGCCTCAGTCTTCCAAAATGCTGGGATTACAGGCGTGAACCACCATGCCCGACCTGTATTTTTAATAGAGATGGGTTTCACCATGTTGGCGAGATGGTCTTGATCTCCTGACCTTGTGATCTGCCCACCTTGGCCTCCCAAAGTGCTGGGATTACAGGTGAGATGGCTTCCACTTCTTAAAAATCCCAATTTCACCCAATAATAATTTCGCCCTTCAGCCTAACTCCATATATGCAGACTTGGGAATAAAAGTGTAGCCCCAAAGAGATGAGGAAGGATGAAAAGCTTGTAAGAGAAGTCATGGTGGCAGCATTCACTTGTAAAATGTTGAGTGACAAGGTGTATCATCACTTTTTGTGGAGCAATATCATTCACTTTGGCTTATACTTCACATGTAACTATCATTTTATATAGGATCCCAAACTATGGCAGAGACTTTGATTTTTAACTTCATTGATTCTGGGTACATAGTAAGGAAAGGACTTCTATTAGAAACCTGAATTTTAAAACAATTCTGTAATTACTCAAAGATTTATTAACATCATGACTCCCTGAGATGGCACATGACAAGAGTCACATCTCTTCCCAAATCTATAACCTCAATCTACATATGAGAAAACCTCAGGCAGATTCAGTTGGGGAATATTCCACGAAATATCTGGCTCTCTAAAACTGTCAAGGTCATAAAAGTCAAGAAAAGACCAACGAACCATGAGCAATTGGAGGTTACTGAGAGGTACAAAAACCAAATGCAATGTGAATTGGATTCAAGAACAGAAAAAAAGAACATTAAAAGAAAAATGTGAATAGTGCTGCAATGAACGATGGTCCTAGGACTTAAAATAAGTTAATAAAAACAGAAAAATGGTAAAATAAAGTCCACAGTTTAGTTGAGAACACCATACACAGTTAATTTCTTTGGTTTGATAAGTGGATTATGGTTATAAAATATATTAATATTAGGGGATGTTGAATGATGGATATATGGAAATTTTCTGTACTGTTTTGACAACTGTCTCTATGCCAGAAATTATTTTAAGATAAGAAGTTAAAAGAGAATATAAAACCACTGTTCCATTCCATTGACTTGGTCATTTATTGATTCTTTTATAAATCAAGAGAATAACGTACATTTGCTTGTTTTTCAGTAGAGTTTGAACATAAATAAAAATTAGACTCACTGGTATAAGTAGAAAAATACAACAAATTTTTCTCAGATTTGGTATTCTAGAATTTTTAATTAGTTAAATTATTACCAACATCATGGCTTTAGTATAGAAAAGACACTAAATCCCTGAAAAAAGTATTATTTGGATAAAGAGAGAAGAAATATTAAAAAGTCAAAGTTGTTCTTTGTGGAATGTTGTGTAAAAAAGAGTAAAATTAATTGGGGCCTAGAGCAAATAAGAGTGTAACTAACAAAAGTCTTCTTTCTTGATGTAAAGAATGGCTACAGAAGGTTAAAATGCAAGTCTAGTTTGAGGCAGGATTGTATGAATGTGAGTGTGAGGTGTCCTTTCATCCGAGCCCTCAATCACACAAGGGGAGCCCAAATTGAGAGGTCAAAAACAACAAGCCTCCTTAATACCTCAGAAGCATTATCTTACAATTGAGAGAGAGAGAAAAAAAAAACTAATTATATTAGTCAAAAACTAGCCAGTGGTATGCTACCTCTGCTAGATCATTCCCATCCTGAGGCATATAAAAGGCCTTTTACAGGAAGCATTCATACTGAAGTCACCTACACTCCTTTCTACCCAAGGAAACCTCCACAGCCATCACCATGTGTGGCAGCTACTACGGAAACCACTATGGCGGCCGTGGCTATGGGTGCTGTGGCTACGGAGGCCTGGGCTGTGGCTATGGCTCCTGCTGTGGCTGTGGCTATGGTTATGGCTCCCGCTCCCTCCGCAGCTGTGGCTATGGATGCGGCTCTGGCTCCGGCTCCGGCTTTGGCTACTACTATTGAGGACATAATGGAAGGCTCTCACCATCTATCCCGTGACATCGGGATTCACCAATTCTTAACCCCACATGCTCTGAGCTTAGGGTTGGATTAAGATTATCTTATATCAAAAGTTTCTGATGTGATTTTTTTCTGAAGATTTGCCCCTCTTCCCCCCATCACCCCAGGACCCTCTGGATCTAATATTTTCAACTTCCTTTTCTGTATTTAATGCATGAAAATTAAAATAATGTAAAATTCACCCTATGAACTTCTGTATGGTCTCTCATCAAGAAGATGCTGTTATAGATCTTGCTTTTTGATTTTCGTGCAGGAACTTATTTTCTGTTTCCCTAATACGATTTTTCAATCTGGAATTGACATCCTGATTTTTTTTCATTAGTATCCAGTATTTATCTTTTTAGCTTTTTTCCCTATTTATATTATCCTAACAGTGTTTCAACGTAACCCATGTTATCACTGCTTGAATAGCATAAAAAACTGAGCATGAACAGAGCAGAAAACTGTGCATCATTTATGGGTTGATTCTTTGCATATAAAAATCATTTACTGTCAAACTTGTTCTATGTAGTTCATGTCACGACTCTACATAAATAATTTGTATTTATAATCTAAATAACCGTAATTGAGTAGAATTTATTAGCCATTTAGCATAGAGCAATCACTGTGCCAAGTCTTTAACGTACATCATCTCAAATGAGCCTCAGAATAAATTCATGATGCATTAAAATTTTCCCATAATCCCAGCACTTTTGGAGGCGGAGACGGGTGGATCATTTGAGGTCAAGGAGTTCAAGACCAGCCTGGCCAATATGGTGAAAGGGTCTCTATTAAAAATACAAAAAATCGGCCGGGGGCCATGGTTATGCACACCTGTAATCCCAGCTATTTGGGAGGGTAAGGCATGAGAATCACTTAAACCCAGGAGGCAGAGGTTGCAGTGAGCCGAGATTGTGCCACTGCACTCCAGCCTGGGCAACAGAGCTAGACTCTGTTTCAAGAAAAACAAAGAAAAACTCCCCATTTTAGAGCTGAATAGAAGCAAAGCGAATGAAGTAACTTTCTCATTGGCAGGTGTGGCAAAGAGATATTTCATACCCACCTGTTTGTTGTCTCTTTGCATATTCATAGAAAGTATTTATTTTCCTTGACTTTAGATAATTGCAGGGATTGTTTAACCACTAAATGCAAAGTTAACTCCCAGGATAAGGTTACTTATTACTGACATTTAATGTTATTGACTTAAATTAAAATTATCTGAAGAACCATTTTGTTTTTCACTCCTTTACCCAACAAAAATCTTTCATTCCACTTTTCTCTGCTTTTTAAATTTATGCTTACCACTCTATAAAATTTCAGCTCACACATTAGACATGTAGAATCTTTTATGCACATCTCTTACTTTTTTGGCACAATCTTTTTATGCCTTTTCTCCAAATTCTAGGAAAATTTCTCAATCCCTTTTCCCCATCTCATCTCTTACAAACTTTTGTCCCTTCAGCATTTTTTTCTTTAAATTAACTTTATCATGACAAATACATATTGCCTCTTTTTAGATTTTAATAATCACTTACATAGTTACTGTAGCTCTATGCATTTCATGACTCTCAAATATTATACATTTTAGAATTTGAAAAAAAAAAATGTGTTGAAGAGTCTTTCCTCCTTTTGCAGCAGTACTATTTTTGAAGAGTAGGCTCATTGTGAGTGCTTAGATCGATTCTTTGATTTTCATAGCTATTTATTTCATATGGTTTTACCCTTAAAAAGAATGATCTGCTACTTGGGATAAAGATTTGTTCCATCAGAACGTATGTCTAGATCTGCTAAATCTTTTGCATACAAACAATTGTAAAGAAAAAGTATTAACACTTCTAATTTGATTTTGCCTGTTCAGCAATACCCATCATTTTCAAGGGTGATCATATAGTCTGTGCTGTTTATTTTTATGGACCTTACATGAGAAGGAAATACTCTACTAGATGTCTCATTTTAGGGAGCTCTTCCACATTACGGATTTTTTTCCACTTATTCTCCATATCTATTATGAATCTGCTCCAAGTTAGGCATTCATTTGAAGAATATGGAATGTAGAAATGGAAAGGGTGGCAAAGATCTCTATTCTCATGGAACTTACACTCTTGAATGAGGCAGGCAGGGAGGGAGACAGACAGTGAGAGACAGATAATAGGCAAGTACATTCTGAAATAAATACAGTAAATTCTGATAGTGATGAGTATTTGTAAAACAGTAAAAATCAATGAGTTAAATAAACTTTTAATCATTTCTCAACGAAGTCAATTTTAAATTGGGTGGTCAGAGAAAACAGATCTAAGACGACGGCAGTTAAGTTGACACCTGAATGAGATGAAGGATTCTGTTATTCTTTCTGGTAATTTCAGAAGGAGAAATCAGCAGTACAAAGGTAAAAGTATTAAGGAGGGTAACAACTTGGTCTGAGTTACTGAAGAGCCTGTGTTTGAAGCATGGTAAATAAAAAGGAAAGTGGTAGGAAGTGATGTCCGAGAGGTAGGATAGAGTATTGGAAGACATTTCTTTCTAAATGCAATGGGAATTCTATGAAAGATACGTTCCAGGAAAAGGCTGTGATGTGATTTCTGTTGTGCCATGAGACTGAGATATCAGAAGAGAAAACATTTGGTGCCAGGAGAGATCATGGGTTGTGTCTTAGTGATGTTAGATTACATCTATAAAAGGACAAAGATAAAGAACATGAAAGGTGAATAACACAGTTCTGAGATTGAAGTCAAGTTGTGAAGAAAAAATTACTGAAAAAGG